CGTGCATGTATTCATGATAAAGTAGCTCAAGAAATATTTATCTTGTTGAGATAGATCGCGGTCAGAAAATTCTAGTGGAAGATAATAAACTTGCACTTATTGACCATTCATCTGCATGCGACATGTGTACATTCACTGCCTTTCCATTCGCATAATGAAAATTTAAATATGGGGCATCGATTTTTCAGACTTAAATTTTGTGAAGAGGGATTTCTCCTCACCTATCCAATATCTCGTTTCTAATTGAACGAGATCCGCTTCCAGTGCTTTCACGAAAATAGCACTTCGATTCCCGAAGGAAAACTTGACGGTATTCTTCATTTTAACGCCACTCATTATCAAATTGTTTGCTTCCAAGGGCAACGACAAAAGCGACCGAGTTGTAGGCAAAGAACAAAGCGCTCCGGACAATCACTTGATCGAGTAAACAAACTGTCGATAGTGATCGATACCGAAAGACACAACTGCTGCTGGTTCTACAGTTAAAGGCGAACTAATTTTCTGACTTGAAATTGTGTACATTACTGATAAAAGTTTTACCAACTGTTTATTGATGAAATGTTCATGGAAAACATTTCTATATGTTCGGAATCATGAGAAAATTGCATTATTGTTTGACGCAAAAAATGGTTCTACGATGACGATGGATTTTCAAAATGGGAGTTGTTCATGTTTGTTGAAAAATTAGACTAAAACTTATCGCAAAATTAGGCATATCTATTTTTTTTTCTCAAACTTTATGTTTTCCACAAACCGTTTTCACGTGCACAATTCAATGGATTTTTGTTTAATTACTGCTTATTAGGGCGGAACAAATATGTTTTTGAAAAAACAAATCAAGGGCGACTGTCAAGTATAATTCCGAAATAAAATAATTTATAATAAATGGCTTCCGATTTTTTCATTTTATACAATGTTCAATGTTTTTATTGGAATCTCCCATGATGACCCAAAGAATGTTGGGACAAATTATGCAAAAAATGACTCCATCAATCGAATGATGCGCCAGAATAATCTTCATTGCCAAATCATTGGCATCACTATGTGTAGAGGACAAATCAAAACTCGAATAAAAGAAAATATAAATAATACATAGCATGTAAGCAAAACATTGTAACTATTGTTTTGAGTCCACTTTTGCTTAAAAAATAGATAATTAAAAGAAGAAAACAAATTGTTCCGACCTTGCGTACTGCAATAGAGAAAATCCTTATTAACCTTGGGCCACTTGTACTATTTAAAGGAAACATGTTCGCTAGTGACAGCGATCTCCAATTTTGGTACCCATGGCTGTTCGTTAATGACGTAGACTCATTTTTGGATATTCCAAAGCCCTCCCTCCCCTCGTAAACATTCATGAATAAAAAAAAATCAAAAAAACGGAAATTATCACATCATATATTTAGTATACGAAGTTGGTATCTTCAGCAAAGTTGCTAAAATTTGCATTATCTACAACTTTGCTCAAAAGACTAGCGAATAGTGTATGCTTCCAGCTGATTTTGACATTTTGTTTTAGATCGCAAAGTGGTTTCGTAGGGTCACAAATGTTAAAACCAACATGGATTACTGTTTAATCACTCCCTTAAAACAGTAATCAGCGCTTTTCTCCACACAGCAAAAAATTAATTTTGATATTACATCAAAGTGGATGCACTTCAATCGTGTCAAAAATATGGTATAATATTACTTGCCAAAAAGGACAAAATCATCATCAATACAGCGCATGAACTAACATTACGCTGCTTTTACTGCATTTGTTTATTTTTGTGGCCATAAAAATTACATGAGATTTTCGACATGATTGAAGTGCATCCTCTTGGATGTAATATTAAAAATAATTTTTTGCTATGTAAGACTGCTGCCGAAATACAACTTCCAATTAAAACCAAAATATCAAGAATTGAGGTATAGTGTAGAACAATTTTTTATTTGGTTTGAGGTCCTCTCCCTAATAAAATTGTCATGGTTATTTTGCTTAACGACGTGTTCTGGGTATCTTCCAAACCATTAGTGGAAAAGTTCAATTATTTGGGTTATCGTTCGTTTATGGTTATTTTTTATTAGGGCTATCACCCTGTTTCGGGAGTACCAGTCACCCTCAGAGACGATGTTTTATAAGAGAGAATAAAAGTAAATCTGGTTGCACGGCCAACAATGTTATTTTGTCTGCAAGGTTTGGCAACCCGCAGTTTTGTGTTTACTTCGAGTGACTTTCAATTTGAGCGAATATATTTTTAATCATTTCGGTAGTATCGGTATTCATATGATTATTTGAATAATAAATTTTTGACAACACTGAGAGAAACCAAATATACTACACAGCAGAAATAAATGTAATATCGACCAACGTAATTCAAGCTGATGTATGAAATACATGCAGCTGTTTGGATGTAACATTCAACAACTTTTTTTCTGTGTGCATTGAAGAGAATATTTTACAGAGCGTTGCGTAAAATTATGCAATCTACGATTCATGCTTCCTACCCTGTATGAATGAAATCTCTATTTCTTTTCCGAATGGACGTATCTGCTTTTGAAAACAATGCATTTACTCGTCGATTTGGCTTAGCTGATAGCTCGCTCACGCATGCTAGCACTACCATCGCTAACTGATAGTGGTGTTAGTATGCGTGAGTGAATAAGCCATTCTTTAGCCTGAATAAGCTCTTATTAAACATTCAATGTTTGTTGAGGCTAAACCGACGATTAAATGCATTGTTTACAAAAGCAGATACGTCCCTTGAAAAAAGTAATCGAGAAATCCCTTTTTTGAAGTCTTTCGCTAAATTCACTATCTTGACAGATTACACCGGAAACGCCTTGATCATCGTTACAGGGCCGGTGTATATGTTTTTCGTTGCACTGGAGTGCATATTTCGTGAGGACATAACGAGAATACAGCAGAATAACAATAATATTCCAGCCCAGTTTGCTACCTTGATGATGCTATTGCAAATCACTATTTCTGAAGACTGTCACGATGTTCACATAAAACTATAGATGATAAGCGAACCCCACACGGTAAGAAATATTGTCAATACTTACAAGTATTGACAATAATATTGATGATGTGAATACAGAAATATTGTCAATACCGATGTATTGACGTCAATATAAAATGTATTGACAATACGATTATTGTCAATAAAAGCAATCGTGTACGGTCCACAATAGGTCAAAAATGCCACGCAAAACCAGTGCTTAAAACATGACACAGTCATGACATGGCAGTCGATCAGCGGCTTAGTAATTTAAAAAAAATTACTATTTGAAATTGATCTAAATAAAAAAAAATCTCAACAGATTTTACTTGTTTTTTATTTGTATTTCAAAAGTCAAATAGTATCCAATTGCACTTTTCATACGCAAACTAATTTATAATTAGTTGGTTGGTTAAAGGTTGTTAAATATCAACCGCCATCGCAATACTCCTCAAGCTTTCCCCGTGAAGCGCTCATGTTTATTTACATTGCTCAATTGAAACCGCGTTTGACGGTTCGATTGGAACTTTTGGCTTCAGTCTTCGCGCGTCTCTTATTAAACATCGTCTCTGGCCACCCTGTTTAAATAAAACAAATAAGTTGCTCCACTATTGGGTCACTTACCCTATGGGAAGAGTTCCATCTACCCACGTTTTTAAGCATGGCGCTAAAATTTGCCGTGCATGGTAGTGATGTTACGAACGAGCCGATCAAAGCAGAAACGGAACATTCCATTCCTCGCTCATTTCTTTACCATAGGATATCCCACTACTACTAGCGCAGTTTACCATAGGTAGGTTGCTTGCAACAACGAGCCATGGATATGTTTCATGTAACGAGCATAGATGTAGCATAACTATCTCTACTACGATCAGAGGAAATTATATGATAGCGAAATACCAGTGAAGAGCTATGCGCTTTGAAAAACCTTCACTGTACATAAGCTTTGTAGGAGTAGCTTGTTTGCGAACTATAATAGATATTGTCGGTCAAGTTGGACACCGGAAAACCCCACGCCCACACGCTGTACGTTATACATAACATCGGTCATAGTGCGCATTACGGTGCATCATTATGCGAATACAGCGTACTATGTCCGACACTATGTTAACGTACAGAACAAGAGTAAAATCGATTGACGCTTGTGGGGTTTTCCAGTTTTCAACTGTACCGATAATAACCAAAGCAAAAGAATTGAACTGCATGCGCTGTCTTCAATTTTGAGCCTCTCTATGTTACGACATACGATGCGCAACATGAACTTTGGAGAAGTATTAGTGTACTGAAGACCGACCAACATAGCAGTACTTTTCCACTGCTAGGAGAGCCTCTCAAACCGTGTTCTGTTTTGGAATAAATACCACGCAAGTAATATTCTTATTTCTTATTCGAGTGATTTTGTACTGCTGGTGAAATAAACTACACTTGAATTTTTGGCATTATTACGCACGATATCGACGGTATACAGAAACATTGTAGAAATCTGTTTATCTTTATGGTGAAAGTGAAAAAAATCTCCTCCGGATTGTGTTTAAGGTATATACTTTTCATGATCAAGGTAAAACGTGTTAAATAAAAGATTACTCTATCGAAACTTGATTTCGATAGTTTCGATCAACTAAAATCCATTTTTAATCAATGTATTATTCGATCGGTCAATGTGCGTTTCAAACTTCGAGAAACTTCGTTTATGTTAATTAGATGCACTCTCTTCTCTTTATTCTTTCACCGCACTCGCAGCATTGCATAAACATGTGTATCGGCAAACAATTAGGGTTCCGTATAAATCTAGTAGCTTTGATCTTTCTTTTACAAACAAAAGAAAATTCGAACATTCCGTAAATGTCACACATCAGCAGCGTTTTAATTCATTCACTTTTATATGTGTTATAATTATAAATAACGTTTTTTTTTTATTCTGATAATGTAAATTCACGTGGATCCCTATATATTTCGCATCGACGCAGTAAAGATCACGATACAAACATGTATAATATCTATGTACATACATTGCAGGAATATTTGATGCAACATGTCTCTCAACCGCCGTGCAACATACAACATGCTGCTGAGGAGCAGCGAAAATCGTTCCGTGCCATTCTGCAACTGTGAATATCCTGCCGTGACACGGTCACGACTTACGGCCAACAAGGTTGAGCGCTGCCGATGTGGCGAGGATACCTCAACGCGGTTTGACTGGACCTGGGATGTTGACTGCGGACATCCCGAAACGAAGATCACCAATGGAACGGAAATCGTGTTCCACCCCGTATACAGCCAAGGTACTTCAGTTATACGGGGAACTCAACCCTTGCAGCACGGAATGCACCATTACTGGGAAATCAAGATACTCAGCCAGCTAGCCGGAACGGATATCGTGAGTAGATTTATTGTAAATTAAAATTATCGTTTTCGTGTGCTATTTATAAGGAAAAAATCATCCTGCATAATGTCTTAAGGTGATACTCTAAGGAAGCCTTAGCGTGAAACTTCAAAGGCACAAATGTCAGCTTCCACAAAACATACAAATTTGAAATTGCTACTCTCTGTTTGTAGTAGCACAGCAAACAAGGAGTAGCAATTTCAAATTTGTATGTTTTGTGGAGGCTGACATTTGTGCCTTTAAAGTTTCACGCTAAGGCTTCCTTAGAGTATCACCTTAATTTTATGAGCGGCGCCGGTGATGTAGTGGTAAGCGTGATTACCTCTCACCTCAGCAGGCCTGGGTTCAATCCCAGTCGGCGTCGCCGGGATGTTCTGAGGCATAACATCTCTGATCACGCCTTTCTTCGGGAAGTAAAGCCGTTGGTCCCCGGTTCATGAGTTGGTTGGTCGATAGGGAGGGTCCATCCCTGGTGTCGGTAGCATTGGTGCTCAGCACGGAAAACAAGATCGACGAAAAACAAATCAAGGGAAAAAAATAACTTAATTTTCCCAAATTTGAAACGTTTTTATGTTTAGCAAAATATTAGGAAAAAAATATCAAATATCCAATAAAATCAGTTTGTTTTTCCTTAGATTTCAGAAAAAAATTCCATGTAAACATATTTTTTTTTCTATCTCATCATGGAAAAAAAACTGGACCCTTATCAAAACCGAAAGGTCGATATTTTGACGTAGGACAACGTCTGTGATTTCTATATGGGGGTACACTTTGTGAAAACCGAAAATGGAACATGTAACAAAATTATGAAAGATTTTGAACGTTAATAACTTAGCTACCCCTGGACCAATTTCAATAATTTTATCACCAATCGATCAGAAATATTTCTACGCATCTGCTTATTTTAAGACTTTATCATTTTTTAAAATGTCACTATTGAAAATTGCATGAATGTGCAACTGTTGCTATGATAATTAACATTTTCACCGATTGCCTGCGGGAATCGATTTCCCTAACACAGGTTTCAACGTTGAATTCCATCCGGTCTTACCAAACGGTGTTAATTCATTCACCGCGTGGTGAGTGGTGGTGTTCTCCAGTACACAACGAAAGGCTCCCCGCAAGCAGCTAGCTATCAACGCTGGCCTCAACGGCGGTGTCCGGTTGTCGGCAGCAGTGCCTTCGGTGCGTGGCGTTGAACATTGTTCCTCCAGTACACAACGAAAGGCTGCCTGCAAGTAGCAAGCTGCAGCTCACTTGCGCATCCATAGATGGAGGAATAAGCCGCACCACTATTGATCGGATTCAGTAGCTCTTCGTGAGTCGCCATCTATGTCAAGCGCATCATACTAAAGATTATAAACAGAGAGAACCCCGCTCAAGTTCCTATTCATACACAAAACACAAGCTTCTGCTGCAGCTAACAAATAAGATTTATTATATAAGACCACGTAGTCCTACGTCGTCATTACGTACAACCCCATAAGGCTGTCCGTTATAGTTTTTTAGTTTATTGAGTCCAACTTTATGCCATGATGACTACCAAAAATTTTATTTTCCAATCTTTTTAGAAGAATCAAAACGTAATTATTTTTTCGGAGCGGTAAACTGCCGTTATACACATAACTGTCCCATGTTCTATGCAATCCTTATGTACCGTGGGAATCTTATGTGTATAACGGCAGTAAACTTCCCCTTACGTTTCGGTAAGCATAGCACCAGAAGAAATTTATCATCATGTTGAGATTTTACATACTAGTCGTTAATCAAACGTAGAACATTTCTGTAAATACATCAATGATGTAACATCATATTAACCATTCATGTTTTTCGATACATTGTAATGGCGACCCAAAAAATTGTGTTTCTTGCTCCATCTACCGTTGAAAAAGGTCAGTAAAAATCACCAAGGAGTGTGAATATAGCATTTATTTTCATTTTGCAGCATTTGGTGGGGCAATGGAAGCACAAGTCAATCCAAAGCCGAGGATAAAGGAAGGGTAATGGCTGAATAGTCTATGCGGACCACTTGAACGCCATGGGAAAAGGAAGGGATTGAAGAGTTTGGTTATTGGGGGTTTTGAGAAAATGACACATAGTACTAGATTTGTGACGCAAAATGTAAAGAAACCGAAAATCCACCTCTCACTGATTCATCCTTTCACATATATACCAAATTGATATTTTAAAGCAACCATCAACATATACAGACAAGATTTACGCGCTGCAAGGTGCGTGAAAGAGCTCGGCACATTCGGTGTTGATGTTGGCTCGCTTATAACTTTTTTGGTTGTGTTTTCCAAAGAAATTGATCGAAATTGTACCAAAAGTGCTTCTGAACGTGTTTCGCAGTTGGGGGTGGTGAAATTCGTGAATTCGCGGTTTATGGTCAGTGAAAATTCCGTGTCACAAAATTGCTCACCGAGTTCCCTTTTTTGCCGTTTGACGACGACGGGTTTGCGAGAGAAAAATAAGCATCGGGAATTTTCTCCCGGATGTATTGATTTGGTGAGTACGTTCCAGTTGGAGATTGTTCTTATACATATCTCGATTGCATTTTCGAGGGGACGTTCGGAGAGCTTTGAGATTTAGGCGTTGTTGCATTTGCGGGCAGATGAGTTGGTCACCGGTAAGGGCCAGTAAGTGCTGCCAGCAGATAAATCAAGAGGTATTCGAAACAAAATTGATAAGAAATGTCCATTCAAATCGATTTAATACAGAACAAATTTCAAAACTATATACGTGCCAGATTTGGAAATAATATTTTTTGAATCTGGAAGTGTGTTTATGATACCATTATCCATTTGATAAAGGTAGAGTGAACATGCGGGGCTTATTGTAAGTAAAAGTGACCTCAGAGTGGTCGTGAATTACCAGGCATTCTGAAATGGGTCACTGGAGCTGCAATAGAGCTAACACCTTCTAACTCCCGGACTAAACCTGCTTTAATTTAAGGGTAATAAAAAGCAGTTTTCTTCCATAATAACACTGCCGGACAGTGGGGGTTAGATTGTACACACACACACACACACACACCATCAAAATATACAGACAATGTATGAAAAGGCTAGTTGCCAGTTGCTTTAAAGGCTAGTTGCCTCCCTAAGCGGACCCCCCGCATCCATCCAAAGTTGATGAAATTTTGGATTTTGGTTCCATTTGACATCCCTAATAAACAAATACCATAAACGATCTATATCCCGAATGGGTAAACTATCTCACAAATGGTTTGGGTGATACCCCGAACACGTCGTTAAGCTCTCTTTAATGGTTATTTTTATTAGGGATGCATATTGCGAATATGCAGTATCCTCAATACCCCTAAATAACCCAAATATTTTCATTAATTACATTTTGTATATTACATGAATATTAGTCTGAAATGATATGCAGAAATTATGAAGACAAACAAATACAGTTTTAGCCATCTCAGAAGCGCTCTCATCGCAAAGAACTAGAAAGCAAAAGAGTGGATCATATTTTTAATATACTATATTTGATTTCAGTTACAATTAGATACTCAACATATTGTTTTTTATTTATGATTGCCTACACACTTAGATTCTTTTGCCTAATCTCGACAATCCAATTGGCGATATGGGTGCACACTAAGATTTTTTTACAGTAGGGTGGGTAGTGGAGGAACTAAGAGAGTTTATTGAAAATAAATAAACGATGTACCTACAATTTTTAGACGACAATCTATAGCCTACAATCTCTATTTTTCTAGAAAAATATTACTTTGTTATTAACTTGTATACATTTTGACGTAGGACTACGTCTTTGATTTCTATATCAGGGTTACACTTTGTGAAAACCAAAAATGGAACATGTAACAAATTAAGAAAGATTTTGAACGTTAATAACTCAGCTGCCCCAATGCTTCCGAATGTTGATTTTCAACAAGAAACTATTGAAAAACTGGTAAATGTCCAGCATTGTCCAAAGCGTCGAATTAACTAACAAATCCACCAATTACCTACATGCATATGCTGCTTCCCCAGCACAGTCGTCAGATAGTAGTAAGTAGACGAAACAAGTCGAAGTGGCATTCGCCTCCGATCCTCGGGCGCGTGCGAATAGGGAGGATGGAAATGCGTAACATTTTGCACACTCATCGCCATATTCAGAACCAAACGCAAATTCTTCGAGATAACCACCATCCGTCGGCTGGCTCGCCTGGCGGCTTTTATACCACTTGGTTGCACATAATTCTGCTTTAACCTGAAAAGATTTAAAAGAGCGCTGATGTAATTTTAGCTTCAGACGGCGTGGTGAACAGCAATAGCATCAGTAGGAAGGTGGTGGCTAGTCCACTCCTTCACACCCAACAAGCAACTGGTCGTGGCAAAGGAGGAAAAGGTCTGGTAAAGGAGGTGCCAAGCGTCATCGCAAAGTTCTTCGAGATAACCGCCATCGGTCGTCTGGCTCGCTGTGGGGGTGTCAAACGTATCTCCGGTCTGATCTATGAGGTGTGCTGAATGTGTTCCTGGAAAATGAGGTCCTTGATGCTGTCACCTACACTAAACACGCCATGGATGTCTTCTTCAATAAAACGGCCCTTTTCAGGGCCATCAAGCTTACATCAGTAAAGAGTTGGAATAGAATTTATCTGTGCTTGTTTGTCCATATTCAGAACCTCAAGCCCCCAACGACCACACAAAATGCTCTCCAGAGTTGTAATCTTGTAACCAAACTTGGAAGCAGGGGTGCAAGTGATTTTGATTGATTCTCTTAATCAACTTTCTTTTTGAAAAAGATTACTACAAATGTGGTACGCCTTCAATTCAAAAACGGAAAGAGCTGAGATAATAGATAATTGATCAATTAAAAGAACTAAATGCTCTTCACATTTATTCCGTCCACTAGCGGTCCTACGTCAAGCTTCCGTTCATGCTTCTAGGCACAGACCCTTCTACTTTTTAGAAAACTCGTCTTCCATTAATAGGAACACTGTTCCAGTAGTTGTGGCAGTGTTTAACCTTGGTTCTTAT